GTTGTTAAAAGAACAACAAAGTAAACAACAGAGTAAAATATGACACTGGAAATGTTATTTTATCCGTCCTGTAACCAAATAGAAATCTACCTTATACGTTCCAGAGATAACTTGCATTACTGAGGTAAGTCTTCTCTGCTGCTTCCTGTAAATTGCCTCTTTTTGCCCATCAGCCAAGGCCAACATTAGGAACCTAGGAGTTATTTTTGATCCAGCTTTAAGTTTAGACTCACACGTCAAAACCATCTCCCGCTCGTTTCTTTCAACTGAGAAACATGTCAAAAGTCCGTAAACTGGTTTCTACTGCAGATCTGGAAAAAATCATCCATGCCTTTGTGTCATCACGCTTACACTATTGTAACGCTCTTTTTACTGGTCTCAGCAAAACCTCCCTCTCACGCCTTCAAGCCATCCAAAATGCAGCAGCCAGACTCCTAACCAAATCCAGCAGACGAGCTCACATCACTCCAGTTTTACAGTCCCTCCACTGGCTCCCGGTAGAATATAGAATCCAGTTTAAAGTTTTAGTCCTGACCTATAGAGCTCTTACCAACCAGGCTCCAAGCTACCTATCTGAGCTTTTATCCCCACACACCACCTCTCGGAACCTTAGATCCACATCTGAAAACCTCCTGGCTGTTCCTCGAACCAGACTGAAAACCAAAGGGGACAGGGCCTTTCAGACTATTGCACCCAGACTTCGGAACAGTCTACCTTCAAATCTCCGTCTCTCTAACACTGTAGAGGTCTTTAAAAATCATCTAAAAACTCACCTTTTCATCCAGGCGTTCCCTCCCTAAATGTTTCAAAAAGATGGCTTTGTTCGGGTTCACACCTTCACTTTGTTTATACTCCTGATTTTATTTTCTACGTTTATCACTGCTATTGTTTTTCTGATGTTTTTATTGGTTAGAGGTATTTGCCCTGATCTTTATCATGTTGTACAGCGCTTTGTGATTTATATCTGTGTAAGGCGCTATATAAATAAACTTTTACTTACTTACTTACTTTAACAGCCTTAAAGTCCCATTTTCAGTCCATCCAGGTGACCATCAGGTATCCGCTGGCGTTTAATCAATCAATCAATCAATCAATCAAAGCTTTATTTATATAGCGCCTTCCGCAACCCTGTCAGGAAGCCCAAAGCGCTGAACATGGTACAGTTAAGTAAATATATTGAATAAATCAACAATAAAAGAAATTAAAATTACAAAATACAAATTACAAAGTACAAAATGGAAATTACAAGATAGATGAAGCAGTCCGGTAAAGGACAAATGTGTGAAACACATTTGGATTGAGTGGATGGATTGAGTGTACCAATGAAAACTGTGGAATGGATTCAACATAAAAGAGGGCCAAAATCAAACATGTTCCGGAAACGCCAAGCGGAGGAGGTGTGTTTTTAGGTGATTCTTAAAGACTGGCAGAGAAGGGGACAGCCTAACTGAGGGTGGCAACTGGTTCCAGAGTAACGGTGCTAGGACTGAGAAAGCCCGGTCCCCACGGGTACGACACCTAGACCGAGGGACAGCGAGTAGGCCTTGGTCAGAGGAGCGCGCAATGGGGAATGTTTGTTCAGGAGAGTGGCCAGATAGGGGGGACCACCACCCTGGAAGAAATGATAAAGACGAGTATTTTGAATTGTGAGCGATAGCAAATCGGAAGCCAGTGCAGGGAGGCCAGAACCGGACTGATGTGGTCCCGTTTCCTGGTCCCAGTCAGGAACCTGGCAGCGCTGTTCTGCACAACCTGTAGGAGACGCAGTGTTGACTGACACAACCCTGCATATAGAGAGTTGCAGTAGTCAAGCCGAGAAATTACAAAAGCATGCAGTACCCGCTCCAGGTGGGCTCTCGACAGCATATGCTTGATTTTAGCAAGGCGTCTCAGGTGAAAGAAACTGGACCGGATCACAGAATTGATGTGAGCATCACATTTAAGTCCAGCATCAAGTTTCACCCCCAAACTGGTAACAACTGGTTTTGAGTACGGAGAAAGAGGGCCAAGATCAGCATAACGATCCACATTCCTGCTGTTGGGGTGAAAAACAATGAGCTCTGTCTTTCCCTCATTCAGATGTAGATAGTTGGACATTAGCCAAGACTTTACCTCATTAACACAGGAGACAAAGGACTGAATAGAGTGACCTTTCTCTTGACACAATGGAGAGTAAATCTGGCAATCGTCAGCATAGAGATGGAATGATAGGCCATGTTTACGAAAGATTGACCCCAGAGGTAGCAGATAAATGGCAAACAAAAGTGGACCAAGGATCGACCCCTGCGGGACCTCCCAGCAGAGCCCCTCCCAAGAAGAAAAAACATCACCCAGTTTAACACAGAATGTCCTGTTTTGGAGATACGATCTAAACCAGTCCAGAGCTGACCCTTTGATCCCAACCCATCGTTCCAAGCGATCGAGTAGAATCGCGTGGTCAACTGTGTCGAAGGCTGCTGTCAGGTCTAATAACAGAAGCAGCACAGATGTTCCCTGATCTAGTGATAGATAGATGTCATTTAGGACCCTCAGTAGAGCAGACTCTGTGCTATGGCCAGACCTGAACCCTGATTGGAAAACCTCAAACAGATCAGAGTCAGCTAAATGTGAGACCAGCTGCTGATAAACGACTTTCTCAAGCAGTTTAGATGTAAAGGGCAGGGTAGAGATAGGCCTGTATCACAGTATACAGGCCTATCTCTACCTGGTGCTGATGTATCACAGAGACATCAGCACCAGGTTTCTTCAGGGTCGGCCGAATAACTGCTGCTTTCAAAGCAGCTGGGACCACACCTGTGCTGAGGCTCCCATTGATAATCTGACCAAGTGAAGGGCCAAGGCACGGAAAGGCAGCCTTCAAGAGACGAGGCGGCAGAACGTCAAGTGGAGAGCCAGAAGGCTTCTGCCTCGCAACAAGCTTACTCAGCTCAGAGTATGAAACCGTATTGAGGGAGCTCAGGGTGGGTGGTGATGGATGAACTGGAACAGGGTCAACAGAGTTACCAGAAATTACTGCTCTAATGCCCGACACTTTATCAACAAAGAATTTGTGAAAAGCTTCAGAGTTTCCAGCAGCTGTAGGAGACATGGAGCTAGGCTAGACTGAGTTTAGCATTTTGTAGAGAATCTTAGGATTATTGGAGTTTGTCTCAATGATGTCTGCAAAATAGGCCGTTCTGGCAGCCCTCACAGCATCCTGATAAGCAACCAGAAATGCTCTGAACAACTCACGCGAGACCTGTAGGCCATCCTTTTTCCACTTTCTCTCAGAGGATCTACACGCCCGCCTGCAAGCCCGTGTGACATCAGAGAGCCATGGCTCCCTCCTAGGCCTAGACTTGCACAGTTTGAGAGGGGCAACCACGTCCAGGACCTGATTACAAAGTACATAAAAGTGTTGTGAATAGTGTTCAGTGTTAGATGGATCTGGGTTAAAGGACTCTAACCTTACAGACATACAGTCCACAAACTCTGAAATTGTTTCTGCACCCAGGGCTCTGAACCTAGTAGCGGGAGCTTCGCACACAGGGACAGGACATGGCAACGTAACATCACAGAGTATTGGAGAGTGGTCAGAGAACACAGGAGGCAAAGTCACAAGGTTCATGACGGGTAGACCATAAGAGATAACCAGGTCCAGGGTGTGACCCCTGGCATGAGTTGGGGATGATACCCATTGAGTTAGATTGAATGAATCTAGCAAATTAAAAAAACCTTTAGTGAGCACATTGTCAGGACAGCAGATATGGATGTTAAAATCACCAAAAAATAGGACATAGTCATATTTTAGGATGCAGTCTGCCACAAGATCACCGAAATCATTAAGGAAGTTAGAGTCAGTCTTTGGAGGGCGATAAATCTTTATTCTTTCACGGTTAGATGGCGTTTCCGACATCGCACTACAACAGCTCCCTGTACTCTTTACTACACGATGCTCTGCTTTGCTTTGTGTGTCTGGGGTGAAGGGAAACCGTCCTGTTTAGATACAAAACCTTCCTGTTGCACAAACTGTGGCTTCTCTGCCAGGTTGTCAGTAATCCAGGTGATTGCAAAGGCATTCACCTGTTTGTTCTGAAGCTTCCTTCATTGTAATGTTTAATGAATCGTCGCAAAAGCACTTGAGAAATCAACAAACACAGTTATTTCAGATTAGACTGAGCCCGCTGAGGCAGACATCTTCATATCCCACCGTGGAACATTGCTGGAACTGCAGGTTTCCTATAAACAGGCTTCCTTTGTACCGGTAGTCTCAAAAACCGTTTTCATGGGACGCTTTGAGAAGTGGGATGCTAGAACAATGAGTTTTCCAATAAGCTAGAAAAAAAGTGACTTTTTGAGTGCAACAAATAAACGGGCCGGACTACCTCCAGCTTGTTCACTCTTTCATTTCATGTCATGCAAAATTCTTGCTTAGCCATACCTTCTGAAAACTGGAGTTTTGTGTCTGTACCAAGCTTCACACGCAACCAGTTTTACTGTCATATCAGAGGTTTTGGTCTTGGTGACACAGAACAACCCATCTGTTCATTCCAGCAGAACATTTTCCCACAGTTTACTGACCAGGTTCAGTTTCTCCATCTGCATCTGTATCTTCTGGAGATGATGAGAGGGATGGAGGCAGTGGAGCTGCGTGGAGGTTAAGGACTGAGGTGCAATAAAACGAGTGGTTAAGAATAAAGACAGAATAAAACTTCACAGTAACATTTGAATGGGTTGTAAAGGAGCATTTGCTACCCGAGGGTTTGTTTATATTCATGACTAGAAGCAGATGTTTGTGGCTTGGCTTGTTTGAACTGTCAGCATGGGTCAGAGCTGCAAACAGCCACTGAAGTTTCAGGGCAGTCAAAAATGACTCAAGTCCCCGAGGGCAGGAAGTAAAACATGGTGATTTTAGACTCTGGGTCCTTCACTTTATGCACAGTTTGACTTCCCAGAGTTCTGAAAAAGGGTCCGACCTTTTGTAGAAAACGTTTTCTAAGTGTGCTAATATCACCTTCCAGCTTGCCATGACTCACCCCAGTCACCACCTCAACTTCGGCATGAATCCTGATCACGCTCGCAACTCGCTGTCCAACTGTGGCATCCGTCAACCCAAATACGGCGACAGGAAGGTTCACCATATGTACATGAGGAAAAAAGGTCAGTGTGTGAACGTGTGGGTGATAAAGAAATGTGGAGTTGTGGTTTAACTAATGAAATTGGTGAGAACTTGTTAAACTAAAGTCTGTCTTGTAATCAGGTCACAGTGCTGTTTGGTAGCAGGGTGTGTACTACGCTGAACGTGGACCACAGAAATAAAGGTCACAGTTGTCTCAGGAGATTAGAAAGATTTTTATTGGCCAGCATCAGGGATAGAGGACCATCTCACAGCCGCTACACGTGGGAAGACCATTTCAAATCACCTCAATGCTAGGAGACCTTCTCGCAGCAGCTTAATGTTCTTGTGGCTGCAGTTGAACATACGATCCAGAAGTCTCGAGTCAGTGGGACTGTAGATTGCTTCCACAGAGGTATCCACGAGAGGACATACTTGAGACATGTATGAACGGTACGAGACCAGAACAACCTCCAAAGAGATTAAAGATGGACGCCACGAGACTGGAATGAACCAACGAGAGAATGTCATTTGGACAGATGAGACCGACGACAGAACGACTGGGAGCTCTTGTTCTTGAGGTGCTTTGCTGCATCTGGAATCTGCTCAGAGTCCAACACGAACTCTAGCCGTTCAGTCGCAGGTCACGGGTCCTCCAGACCTGTGGAAGGAGCTGAAACACCTGGAGAAGGAGCCCTGAGACAGGTGGACCAGTTTGCTCATTAGTGGGAAAAACCACATGAATAAAGCAGCATCAGATTTTTATAAGTTGATTTTGAACCTTCATCACTTTAGCTTGTTTCTAGTTATTTTCACACCCGCTGTGTTTTTCTCTGTAACAGCGGTATGCCGGCCATTTTATCCACATCTTTATTTCTCACTCTTGTTTTCTCATTTCCTCCATCACGGCGCCTAATTCTTCTCCACATTGGATTTTTATTTGTTTCCAGGAATCAACACGTTAATTAACATCATGTCCCGACTTGGGCAGGACGACCCGTCTCCTTCCAGGTGAGCTACCTGCGGGCACATATCTGCTCACGCTATCGCAGACCACGGGCACAATCAAAGGGACGAGTCCAGTGATTAATACAGCCGACAGGCCTGCTGACAAGAAAATTAACTTGAACTGTGGAAGGGAGGCGCATCTCAGGGGGAAATGAAATGAGCTAATTTTAAGGGCAATGACTGCTTATTACTGAATGTGAGCTGGAGTTATTCTCAGATCTGGTGTCTGTCTTCTCTCACGTCTCCACCTTCCTCCTTCCGTCTGTTCCTCACCTCTGCAGGATCAATCACAACGAGAGGCTGGAGTTCCTGGGTGATGCTGTTGTCGAGTTCCTCACCAGGTGAGAAGGCGCGCCTTTGATAGACGCCAGCGCTAATTGAAGCTGACTGCAACACTGTCGGCCTTTCTGTCTTTTTTTCCTCTCCTTTCTCACCCTCTCTCCCATTTCCTCCCGTCTTCCTCATTGTCGGCACGTTTCCTTGTCTGTCATCCGCGCTCCTCTCCATGCTTTCGCCTCATTCGAGACATTGATTCACTGGTAATTGGAACTAGATATAATGCCCCTCCTCCTCCCCCATCACTGTACACCCCCTCCACCACACACACACACACACACACACACTTTATTTCAACAGCTAGAAATTCTCCATGACAACTTGCAATTAGCTGTCTTGAATAGCTGTCAGGATTGCTGACTGCGTTATTGACTCCCAGGTGAGTGCGGACGCCGCTGCCCAGCACTTACCTAAGCACGCTGCTAATTATACATTTATATTTATAGCTGTTATTAATCTCACACACTACCAGGCGAGTCAGCTGCCTACGTGTCCACTTGCTGTATCAACACCTCTGAGATGAAATAATTGCCGTGAAACAAAAGGAAGGTTTTTTTTTTCTACTGGAGCAACAGTAAAAGAAAACATTTTAGTCCTGAAGCATAACTTCTATCACCTAAATATGATTGGTAACCAACAGTGTTGACACTTCCACACGGGTGAACTCTAAGGACCTGGGTTAAACCCTAATAGCAGCCGAGTTTGGACTAGATAAAATGATTGATCAGCTGATTTAAAATGAGTAGAAAGCTGCAGTTGTGTCGGAGCAGAACTGGATTTAGTGTAGATATGTGTGGAGTGTTAGAGTTGACACTACGCCCATGTGTCAGGGAGCTTCTGCCACCGGGGGTGGGGTTTACCTAAGGGGGCTCATTATGGAGCAAAACAAGTCCAGGGTATCCGCGGGTCCTTAAAAAGTCTTAAATATGCTTTTCCAAATTTAAGGCCTTGAAAATCCTTAAAAATGACTAATAATCCTTAAATCCAGTTTCCAAAGGTCTTAAATTACCAAAGACCCAATAAACAAGATTCTTTTATTTCTATAAAATTTTCGTGAATTTCTAGTTAGTGTTCAGCTTTTTTAGTGTACGATGTTGCCGTAAGCGGAACCGTACACATTCAGTTGGTTGTGAAAGGGGGCTATTTTTAGATGAGCACATTAGCTGGTTAAGCTAGTGGGAGCTTGCGCCATGGGGAAGTGCAAGTTTAATGGTAACTGGATGGCTAAGCCCACGTTTGCGACGTGGTTAGCACCGGTTCCAGGCAATAGCTGGAAATTATAGCTTGAATTTAATTTTAAAAATAGCTTAAATTTGGTCAAAGTGGCCTTAAAAAAGGTCTTAAAAAGTCTTAAATTTGGCTCCCTTAAACCTGCAGATACCCTGCAAGTCCCAAAAAAAGTATAGCTGAACGTTGTATGGTATATCAGGTGGGTTGGAGCAGGTAAACAACTAAAACCTGCTGGTTTTAAGGCTGTAAGCGGCTCTAAGGTCTGACCCTAACTAAACAAATCCACGTAAGAAAGTCGAACAGTAAAAGATGGGATTCGAGACCGTGTTGTGCTCTGGTTTTCCTGTGTTTATAAACGTCGATGTTTTAAAAGCTGAAATCAAAAATATTTTTGTATTTTTACTTCACTTTACGCTAGAAGATATGTAAGAACCTTGATATCGCAAATCATCCGTCAGCGTCATACTACGTTATGATGAAATAAAGTCAAACTTCCATTGGTGGTCACACAGCCCCGTCCCCTGGGGGAGCGGGGATGGGTCCAGTGGAGAGGCCTTGGGTCCCATTTTTAAAGGTATGACCCAACTGTGGATTTGAACCCACAGTCTACTCTCAGGGCGGGCCACTGGGCCACTGAGCTGGTAAAATAAAAGGACAATGCCTGACTGGAGACTCAGTAAGTTGGTTCAAACGTCTGGATGGAGGCGGGCTTTAGTGTTGGATCTCATCAGCGCCTCCTTCCAACCGAAGCTTTTTACTAAAACAAACCAGGTTAAAGCCATAATCTCACTGGGTTGGTAACTGGTTTTTCCTTTGGTGACTCTTCTGAACTTCCCGTTGTGCCGTTGCACTTTCAAACATAAAACCGCTCGGGAAGAGTTCCCGCTCAAACGTTGTTGCGGAGCCGTCTGGGTCTGGTTTCAGAACCTTCCTCGGCTTTAGCTCCTGTGAGTCTGAAAGGGAGAGAAACTCCAGGTGGGGTTGGAGGGTAGATAGCAAATTCTAACGTGATTAAGGAGCTTTTTGTTGCTAAACTGAGACAAAATAAACGTGGACGCCTATTTCCGTGCCATTACATCATGCGTCCATGTAGCCATAAATAACAGACTCAGCTGTTCCTACTGTTGGCAGTGACCCATCCTTCAGCTGCCCTGGGCTATAAAACTCTGCGTCGGTGTCAGCCATTAAAAGCTCGTAGCGGTCGGTCAGTAGTCCGGTCCATCAGTCTCCGTTTCAGCGTTCCTAAAAGGTCACTTAGCCTCAGTGGATATCTCTGGCCATGTTTGGCCTCCTCTCTCCCGATTGTTAGCGTTAGCGTCTGACGAGAAGTGCTTGCTCTGCCTACTCTCTCCGGCCCTCTGAATTATTTATCAACCTCTTGTCCAGATAAATGGCTACAGCAGATCCAGCCAGCTGCCCCGTGTGCGCTCAGAGTGCACGGCTGCCCTTGGAGGCTCCCTGTGCCTCTGCTGTCCAGCCAACATTTTGCACATTTGAATAACCCCCATTGGGGGGGGGGGGGGGGGGGGGGGGTTGCACACATGATCAGCAGATGATGTAAAAGAATAAATCCAAATGCAATCCTCTACAACACGTCTATAATCCTTCAGACCAGGTAGGTTTTCCCATCAATGATGTTAAAGACCTGAAAAGGCAACATGGTGGAGTCACTTTATTCAGCCACTGTCTTGCAGCTGAAAATGTGAAAAATCACCCTTTTAATCTGATATAAAACACGTGTATATTATATGTAATCAAAAGTAATCCACATTAGTGAATTAGTTTAAAAAGGAGCAGGCAGAAGCGTTGTTTGTGTCTTATCCACACATCCTTCAGATTTTCTACATTTTCTTCATTTGAATGATGTTTTCTCCTCCCAGAATGTCCCGATCTGCTGGCGTTAACAAACAGGTTCACTTCCATCATCTAGCCAAGCGTCTGCGGCGTAATCATCTATGACCAAAAGAGTATTTCTTTATTTATCCCAAAGTTTTTGTTTCCTCACCAAGATCTCCCGACAGACGGATCTCTGTGGGTTTGGAGAAGCAGGACGCCACCTGCTTACCTCTCTTTGCGTAAATTAGAAATGACTGAATTAAATGGGCTGTTTTAAATCAAATGAAATCAAATGACACGCTGCAGTTACGGAGACGACGGACCGTAATGAAAATGGAACCGGCTTGCCGGGGAACCCAGCTGTGGAACCGCTGAAGCGTCTGAGGCCAATTCTGGGTTCCAGCTCAGGCCTGGAAAAAGGCTGCAGACTTAATTAGTTGGTCTCGGAGAATCTGGCAGCCGTAGGGTGAAGATGCATTCAATAGTTTAATATATTTGTTTATAGTGCGTTACGGGAATGTTGGGGAATCATCTTTCTTTCCTACTAAAGGTCAAATTTAATCTTTCCCCCAGAGATCCTGGAGCTCGCTGCAGCTTAAGCTAGGTTTAGCATGTGTGGGTTTCCCCCCACAGACCAGAAACATGCTTGTTAGGGTTAAATAAAGATTCTCTGTGATGGAATGGAGACCTCTCCATCACCTTTCGTCTGGTGACTGCTGGAGTTGGGCACCAGCTGCTCGTGGGTTCTTAGCGGGTAGGATGAGAGCGAGAGTATAAAGCCATAAAAGGGGCCCTTACCACTAGGGTTGGGCATCGTTTGATTTTGAGCGATTCCGATTCCAGTTCCTCGTTTTGATTCCGGTTCCTATCGATTCCTGATTCCGATTCTTTCAAGACATTCCATGTTTTACATGAGCCAGCTAACCACAGGTCCTACTTGATGAAATAATCTTAACTTCAACATGAGTTTTAACTCTATGAACAACAACATCACCTTCATTTAGACAAAAACATGTTTTGGAGACAAAAAGAAACAGACTTGCAGCACAACCAGTGTGTTTGTTTCTGACCACAACCAAAGTGTGGAAGAAGCCTCTGGGATGAGAGGCTAAATGTCTCCAACATATCCAGAAACGTCCAGCTGTTTTCAGCTAAAACTCTCAGGATGATCACGTCCAGGATGACTGAGAACCGCACCTCCATGCTGCAGCAGCGTTCAGTCAGAACAGGAAGTGAAGCTTAAATGTAGCTGCTGTCAGTAACAAGCTAACAGGTTTTAAACATTAAAACTCTCAACAGAAATAGTTAAGAAAGGAAATTAAAATGGGGGGGGGGGGGGGGGGGGGCTCGTGCTGCACACAGACAGCTGGTGTGATCAGCTCTGAAAAGCGTTGATCACAATTTGCAGATCACGTTTATTTTTCACAGAGATCGGCCGCAGATTCCTCTTCCGTCGGCATACTAGGAATCAAAACTAGGAATCGAAAAAAAAAACGTTGACCGATTCTGGGAAACTAGTTGGAACCGGTTCCAATCGATGCTCGATGCCCAACCCTACTTAACCACCTAATCCTGCTCCATCTGGGTGCTTTAAGGCCACATGTGGTCTACAAGGAGTGGAACTGGTCTGGATCAGAAGTTGTACCTAAGGCTTTTCTGAGGGTTGTTTTGGTCTTTTTCTTTTAAGCCCCATTTATAGTCATTTTTATTACTTTCAGACCATTTTCAGGTATTTTTCTCTGCTGAATCATTCAGATATAAACAGGGTATCTGCAGGTCCTTAAAAAGTCTTAAAAAGTCTTAAATTTACTTTTCTAAATTTAAGGCCTTGAAAATCCTTAAAAATGACAAATAATCCTTAAATACAGTTTCCAAAGGTCTTAAATTACCAAAGACCCAATAAACTAGATTATTTTATTTCTATGACATTTTCGTGAATTTCTAGTTGGTGTTCAGCATTTTTGTGTACGATGTTGGCGTAAGCGGAACCGTACACGTTCAGTTGGTTGTGAAAGGAGGCCATTTTTAGATGAGCACATTAGCTGGTTAAGCTAGTGGGAGCTTGTGTCATGGGGAAGTGCAAGTTTAATGGTAAATGGATGGTTAATCCCACGTTCGCGATGTGGTTAGCACCGGTTCCAGGCAATAGCTGGAAATTATAGCAGAAATTAAAATTTTAAAAATAGCTTAAATTTGGTCAAAGTGGCCTTAAAAAAGGTCTTAAAAAGTCTTAAATTTGGCTCCCTTAAACCTGCAAATACCCTGTAAACAAATCTCTTAAGCTCAAGCGATGAACCATCAACTAGGCAACAACTGGTTTTTATTAGTTTCTTCAGGCTCTTTGTCTGCAGCCAGCATTTCCTCCCAGTTCTTAACTCCATCTACAAAGTTCCTGAGAGATAGAAAACGAGGTGATTGTGGAAGAGATGGTCAGCAGAAGGACTTGGCTGTCCTGGTTTTGCTGTAGAGGTTGTTTAGGACTGGATTTTGTTCATGTTCCTGACTTCTGGACCACAAACACAGATGTGTGTTAGGGCTCCGGAAAAGGAGTTTTAGGGAACTACTGACGTCTGGTTGCTCAGAAGTAAGTCAGAGTGGTTTAAAAACTTTTGTTCTGTATGTTTTGCTTTTGTGTAAAAATGTAACGGTAAATGGAAACATGGTTTTAATTTTAAAGCTGCTGTCTCTCCTTGTCCGTGTCCAGCGTCCATCTCTACTACCTTTTCCCCAGCCTGGAGGAGGGCGGCCTGGCCACCTACAGGACGGCCATCGTCCAGAACCAGCACTTAGCCATGCTCGCCAAGGTAACCCTCCCTCCTCCTCAGGTCTCTGAAGACGGTAATTCTGTCTCCTCAGCTGATGTTATGACTTTGCTACTTTCTGAAGGGTGCTCGGGGGATGAGAGTAATTTTGTCTTGCTGCCACTCGTACCCGTCTTTTTGCCCCTCAGCTTTGTAATTGGAGTTAAAAGGTTGTTGTTTTGGAGGCCGGTGTGACTCTGGTCTCCGCGGACCCCTGCAGGTCTTCCTGAATCACTCCTCGCCTCCTCTCCTCACCATCCTCCCTCCACTTCCTCCTCCTCTGGCAGCCCAGCAGCACTTGCTGGCACGTTTTGTAAAGAACACAACAATAATCGTCCCGTGATGTGGAGAAACCAATTAAAAACTTCAATCTTTCATGTCGCTCCCCGCTGAATACAAAGATGCAGCCGCCCGAATCTGCATTATTGCTGCGTAGCAGTTTGGCTTGTTTCAATTTGCTGCTCGTGGTAAAAATACGAGTGCGATGCCGTCTTCAACGTTGCCAAGTTGTTTACCCGGCTCCTCTAAAGCCGTCTGCTCAAGAACACTCGCAATTATCTTTCAGAAAATATCTTCAGCGAGCGGCGGCGCCATCCGCCACTTCACTTGGAAGGCTTAAAAGTCAGAGCGGGTTCCCTCGGAGTTGGAGTATTTATGAATTGTGATTTAATTTGTGTGTGCGATGGCGGGGGGTGGGATACCACCAACAGTTATCAGCCGTAATTAAAAAGCTCCCCGGTTGTTTTTTTTCTCTGTTCGCTGCCAGCAGACTCAGGTCTGGGTACTTTTTCGTCCTGGCGCCGAGACTCTTTGCTGAAGTTTGACTGACCCGAGTCACAGACCTCCACATCAAACCCGCGCAGGTTTAGGAGCTTTCTCCCGATCGCACCGCCAGAAGCTGCTCACACTTTAATCAGACAGCTTTTCCTGGAAGTGAATTGAAAATCCAAACTCCAGCAGTTGGGGGGGAGAAGAGCATTTTAATTATCTCTGTGAGGAATCGTGCACGTTTGCTTCCAACTAGAATGAAATCTTTCACTTAAAGGATTAACGATAAAAAGTGAAACGGAGACAAAGCTCGCTCTGCAACCTCCACACCTGCGCTCAGGTGTTTTTCTTTGCAGATATAAAAAGTTTTCCTCTTTTTCTTTGTTAAAGACGACCCCAAATGGTCAGATAAACATCACACACTCTTCTTTTGTCAAAAGGCAAAACTTGTGTGAACTCTTGAGTCCACCTGTTCCAACAGCTTGGAGGACGGTCGCTGTCCTCTGTGTGATTTATCAGGTTCTCTCTTGACCTTTGACCTGGCAGCCCAGCCTCTGGGTTGGAGCTTCCTCTAGTCAGAAGATCTTGTTAAAACATGAACTTAACTGAGAAATAAAAATGAAAAAAACACACAGGCCAAAATGTTTTTATTTTTAACATCTGGAGGCGTTGGAATAAAAAGGTAAATGTTAATCCTGTCCGTCTGCTTTCACCCACTTCTCTGGGTCCGGGTCACGGGGTCATCAGTCCCGAGTAGAGCTGCAGCTCCTCCAGCAGCAGCGCTCTTTCGCACGTGAGAAGTGGTTCTGTTCTAGTTTTCCCATTTGTGACATCACAAACGGAGACTTGTTGAAACTGCCTGTTAACGCTGACAGAAAATGGATGGGCAGGTTTCTTTTTCCATTTTGGATAGGAATGTCCCATTCCGATATCGGCCCAAAAACACTATCGGATTATATCGGACTGCATCAAAAAGCTGCGATAGAAGCGGTCCGTTAAGGTTCACATTTTTGCAACCAATGGTTTAAAAAATGTTTGTTTTATTCATACTTACTGTTATTGGCTCTTGTTCCACACTACGATACAGGTAAAGGTTTGTATGATTTGGGCTGATATCGTATCAGATGGACATCGGTATCGGTCTGCAGTATCGGTGTTGTAGTGCAAGTGAAAAGGTTGCATCGGGACATCCCTAGTTTTGGTGTTTATAGAGGTGGTAGAGACCCACATGGCAACAAAAAGCTTTTAGAGCTTCTAAAGACCAGTTGTCATACACAAACCTTTAAATGAATAACAAGCTCTGTTTGTCCCGTTAACTCGTAATTTGCCGTCATCGTGTTATGTCCTTAGGAGGTTTTTATGATAGGACTGATGGAAAAGCATCTCGGAGGTCACTTCTGCTCCACGTCAGAATAATTTTGTGCCAAGTAGAAGAACAACTCGTAACTTTTCAGAGAGCGAAGGTCGCTTCTGGTCTGATTCACATTTTATCAGGATTATTTGCAGCCTTCTGTGCGTTTGTGTGTGCGTGCACATGTGTGTGAACAGCTTAGAGCATCGTGCCACAGCTGGGCGACACATGAGCACATCTGTCAGAGCCATGAAGTACAGTGAGGCCAGGCCATCGTTTTCTCTCAGGGTTTTAATGATTGTGTGCCTGGTTTCCTACAGAGAGCCTATAGAAATAAGATCTTGCTTTTAGAGTGGCTATTACTGAGGCAGCCTGCTGACATCAACCCGTCGGTTCTTTTCCAGAAACTGGAGCTGGATCGCTTCATGCTCTACGCTCATGGACCCGACCTGTGCCGGGAGTCGGACCTGCGACACGCCATGGCCAACTGCTTCGAAGCTCTCATCGGTAAGGCTCCTCAGAGTTGGTGTCAGAGGAGAGTAGAGATGTGAATCTGTTCCCTAAAAGAAAGGATTTAGATTCAGACACCAGGAGTTACCGTGTGTGTTCCTTTTGGAAAACGCAGCATCGGGGTGGAGGTCCGGTTTCATCTCCTGAGACCAACAGTGTTCCTGGAGATGAACTGGAGCTGTTTACACACACACACGCACGCACGCGCACACACACACACACACACACACACACACATTTGAAAGTATCGTGAATAAAAACATTTTAAAGTTTTCACAGATGTTTATCCCTGTGAAAACTCTTCCTGCAGCTTTGAGAAGCACATTTTATGCGCAGAAGCAATTCAGAGTACTTTCCAGGAGCGAGAACAGCAAGAACATAAAAGTGAATCACCTTGACAACTGAAAGAGGTAAATTAGTGGTGAGAGTGAGGCAAAGTTAAAGGGTGAGCAGTTACAGTGCAGAAGGTGCAGCATACGAGGCTCATGAATACATTTATTTATTTAAACATAATTTTATACGGAGGAATAACCACTTGAGATGAAACATCTCGTTTTCGAGTGGGTCCTCCTTCACAACAAAAACAACAAAAATTAAGAGCAAGACAGCAGAACAAAAATAAAAATCAAAACATTACAACAATCATTTAAAGACACACACACACACACACACACACACACACACACACACACACACACACACACACACACACACACACACACACACACACACACACACACACACACACACACACACACACACACACACACACACACACACACACACACCCTCAAAGGCTCACAATACTTCACCCCACTCGACACGACCCCAACTAACAAGGACAAAACAAAAGCAACAGCCAGTTGAACAAATACAATTAGTAACATAGACAATTATTCCGAAGATGTTCGACCAGAGCCCTTCAAAGAGTTGTGAATGATGATAAACAATGAATAGATGAAGGAAGATTATTCCAATCACATGGAGCCTTAAAACCACAAGCATGTTTCCCTACCTCTCTTTTCCCTCTAGGAACAACAACAAAGAGCTGGCCATTATGCCGCAGGCTGTAAAGTGAATCCGGATAATTAAAGAAAAAAGTTTTAAAAATGAACTGAAACAGTGAATCTGTCTCCTGACAGCAGGTGCGAACCAGGACGACTGTCGATACATCACACTTCTATGTGTCCTACATGGACAACGAAGAACAAAACAACAGAGGCTATTATAAGCAACATCAATAGAGTGCAAGCAGGAGGATGAAGTGTTCTGATAGATAATGTCAGCATAGTCCAGAATAGGCAGAAGAAGCTGTGTGGCGATTCGTTTCCTAACCAGAAAGTTAAAACAGTTAACAGATTGATGGAGGATTTTAAGACGAGAATTGAATTTTTTTGTAGTTGATTGTATTTGTTTTAAAGGATAAATCAGGTTCCAGCCAAACACCAAGATATTTTATGGTCTCCGTGGTCTCCAGAGGAGAGGAGTCAAGAAAACAAAGCTTCAGGTTTTTTCGCCAATATCTAGGGCTTTCTCATGAAACAGTAAGGAATATGATTTTGACGTACTAAGGAGAAGTTTACTGCCCATCAGCCACTGCTGAATAGATTTAAAGTATTTTTGTAGCGAAAAATGTATCTCAGTGAGAGTTGGCTTACTACAGCGGTTCCCAAACTTATTTAGCCGCGCACCCCCTTCTATGTTCCGACCATGTCGACGCACCCCCCAGCCCCACATCAGGGCATGGCTATATGTATGTATATTATATATATATATAGCCAGATATATATAGCCAGATATATATACATATATATGTCAGACGTGGCGCTAAACAGTCACTCGACAGACAAAGTTAAAAAAATATGATCGACCTTTTTCCCATCACTTTCATTTTTATGTTTATGTATTATGTATTTTTCAAATAGTAATTAATAGACATTCAATACCATTACAATTTCCTTTGATTTAGTTTTAAATAAATATTTAATCAGGTAGCACATAAAAATGCAATTTAATGGTTTTCTTAAAGTTGGAATGTTTAACCAGAGCTCTCTCCTTCCTTCTGCTCTGTGTAAACCTGAACTGGTCACCTACTTGTGCTTAATCAAATGTCTATAGGGGAAAAGATGGAAAAGCTATAGCCATGAGGTTCACTTTTGCCTCAGACAGACTTATTGCTGTTTTATGGTGTGGCTGAATCTGTGATCCGCTGCCACGCGGACTGGAATAAAAAATGCTGCAGTAACAGGAGTTGTAGTCAGGTTCGGAGTCACTGGCTGGAGCGGACCCGACTTTAATACGTCATCCCATAATAGAAGCTAATATCTTAATTTGACATTGAATGAAAAATGTTGTCATAAAACCTCTTAAAAGTTTTTATCACAGAGGAGGCAGCGCTCATCTCTGCCTTCAGTCTGACGGCGCAGCGCAGCGTGCGCTTGTCGAATCTGTGTGTGTGTGCGGCACAGCTCCATGAGCTGCTCCAGTCATTGCGTCTCGTTGTTGGCGCTATTTAAACCAATGTTGTAAAATGACTTCTGCCCAGCCCAGATGTGCTCACTTGTGCACCCGTGAGCCATGGCTCTGCTGGAACGCGTCTGACCTCTGACAGATGCACTCTGAACTTCAGATCTTCAGCGCGCTGTGCGGAACATATCTTGCTATTGACAGCTTGCGCAAGTCAGAGTGCTGAAGCTCAGAGCGCATTATTATTATGAAGCTAGGGCACATGCGGAGGACACACACACACACACACACACACACACATGCAAAATATACTTGTTTTCAATTGCATTTATTGGGCCCACTTACTTTTTCTTAGGCCCACCCACAAATGAGTTTCTGGCTACGCTAATGGTGAAATATGACAGACTTCTCTGAGCTCCCTAGCCATTACACTTTTCACCTCGCGCACCCCATAGCAGCAGCTCGCACACCCCCAGGGGTGCGCGCACCTCACTTAGGGAATCCCTGGCTTACTACAATAAATAACTGTGTCATCAGCATAAAGATGAATATTACAGTCTGTGCAGCACAGGGGCAAATATTAACATAAATAGAAAACAATAAAGGTCCCAAGGAAGAACCTTGAGGGATGCCTATAGATATTCCAGTAAAATTTGACTGACAGCCCCTGTACAACACACACTGGTGATGATAGTGTAGGTTAGAGTTAAACCAAAGTGAGGATGATCTTGAAAGGCCAGTAGCATGCAATTTATCCAGTAAAAGATAATGGTCAACTAAATCAAATGCTTTGGAGAGATCTAAGAAAATGGCACCAGTGCACAAATTATTATCAACGCTAGAGAACTCATCGGTAAATTTTGGTAAATTGGTAAATTTCAAGAGAGCAGTGGTAGTAGAGAAACTGGCACTGAGTGAATAAATTATTGTCGGACAGATAGTCATAAAGTTTATTGAAGATTAATTTCTCAAAGACTTTAACCACACAGTTGATTATTGATATAGGCCTGTAGTTATTCAGAATTTTTGAGTCACCGCCTTTATGCAAAGGAACGACTTTAGTACATTTCCAGGCGAAGGGCACTTCACAGGCGACAAACGACATATTAAAAAGCACAGCCAATGGGGGTGAGAGGACGTGAGATGCAAGTTTAATAAACTTACTCTCTAAGCCATCAGGACCGGGACCGCTGCTGGAGGAGAGCTTATCAATGGCCTTTTGAACATCTGTTGATGTGAGTAGTTGGAATTTGAAAGAGCTGTTGCAGGGTTGGCCGTACATCAAGGAATCTACACAATGATCAGGAGAATGAACAGGCGATATTTGAGAGAAAAAAGAGCTAAAGGCTTTGGAAATCCCAGCTGGGTCGTTGGAAATTTCATTGTCAACTTTCATATTACCTGCTAAAGTGTTGACTCCCTTCCAGAATTGCTTTGGGTTACTTAGGTCATTTGATAGGATCTCTATAATAATTAGCTTTAGCATTTCGAGTTTGAGTTGTGGATACATTTCGAAGACTTTTGTATTCGATTCAGTCCTCAGGTAACTGTGTATGTTTATGTTTAGTCCAGGCCTGTCCCTGGTTTTAAAAAGATTAATGAGCTCACTATTAACCCAAGGCAGATGATGCCCTTTAACCTTAATAGATTTCCAAGGGGTGTGTCTATCTATAACCGTCCCTACTTCACTATAAAAAAAGTCCCAAGCAGCTTCCACATCCGGTATTAAATGAAGTCTATACCAGTTAATCCTTAGCATGTCATTGATAAATAAGTTATATTGAAATGGTTTCGTTTCACGAACCTTTATATATTTAGGAGATAGATGAGGAGTTGTAATTTTGCAAATGCAATGAATAATGGAGTGGTCACTGAAACCGCCAGAGAGAACACCAGAGGTCATAATTCTGTTTGGATGAGAAACAAGAATCCAGTCAATGAGCGTATTAGAGTTTGAGCTAATTCGAGTAGGCTCAGCGATTATTTGAGTCAAATTAGCCCCGTTAACCATGTTGCGTTCTATATGAGTAGAGGGATCATTCCAGTTTAAGTTGAAATCCCCCATCAGAATAATTTCACTTGAAACTCCCAATGATGATACCGTAGCTAGGATGTTACTAACAGACTCTGGTTTTGGAGATGTAGGTGGTCGGTATATATTACCAGTAATTAATTGTTTATTTACATGAAGAGTGACCTTCACAAAAATACCTTCAAAAAGATCAGGTTGAACATCAGGAATTATTACCTGTGAACTCAAGTTGGAGGAGATAAAAGTAACGACTCCGCCTCCTCTGGATCCTCTGTCAGCCCTGCACACTTCATAATTATCAAGATGAATAGCAGAGTCTGTGGTACTATTAGTAAGCCAAGTTTCAGATAATGTGATTATATTAGGATTGTTGTAGGATAGCCAGGCTCTAAGCTGATCAATTTTGGGGAAAGCTACATGAAAGAAAGATTTAAAGTTACTTCATTACCTGATGAGTAAATCAGGCTTTTCTTGGTTGGTTTTTGATCTTTTGCTTTAG